GAGGTGGGGTAACTGGGGGAGCAGGGAGTGGGGCAGACGGAGGGGACAGCAGCGGGGATGCCCGTCCCCTTGCTTAGCAAATTGGGGTGACTCAGGTGGGTCGGCGGTGTGACAGCAGCAAGGGGGTCCCCGGCTGGGGCTGTGCGTGCGTGCAGGTGGCCGGGGTGCAGGCAGGGTGCTGGGGAGCCGCTCTTCTGGGGGGATCTGTGGTGTGGGGTGGCCAGAGAGCCTGGGGAGGGCAGGTCAGGCCACCCATGCTCTCTCGCACCCCGCGCTGCCAGGCTGTGCCTGTGGACCCCCTGATGTTGCTTTCCCCCCCGCCCCTGTAGTGACCCCACTGGACAGCCGCACGTCATGGTGGACTACTACGAAGCGCTGGGGGTGAGCCGCAATGCCACCGCCGAGGACATCAAGAAGGCGTAAGTGCATGGCAGGTGTGCCCCTGCCCGAGCCACCCCTCAACCCCCCCGCCCCGTGCCAGCGAGGCAGGGGCTCCCTGCGGGGGGCCGGTGGGGACAGAACCCAGCTCCAGAGGTGACAATCCAGCCTTTGTTTCCTTTGTGCGGAGGCCAGAGCTGGGCTGGGCTTTGCTGCAGCACAAAGGCATCTCTTGGTGGGGTTTGGTCCCTTTGTCCCCGCTCTCAGCCCCAGGGCTGGGGATGGAGGCGGGAGGTGGGTCCCACTGGTTTTTGGAGGCATCTCCTCTCCTTTCTGGAGGGTGCGGGGATGGCAGAGGGCTGAGGTGCGGGGGGCTCTGCTGGCGCCAGGGTCAGGGGATGGAGCTCGTGGGGTGAGAAACAGCATGTCCCCCTGGCAGGGACTTGGGCCCCGTTGGCAGGTCCCGTGCTGCACCCCAGGCGCTGTGGGGGAGCCCCGGGGGCGGACAGAGCCTCCCACAGCTCCCGCCCGCCACCCTGCCGAGGTCTGGCTGCTCTCGAAGCGGTGAGGCATCACCCGTGGGGAAACAGTTCGAACTGGTGGCTTTCCTGGGGGGGACAGAAGCAGGGAACAAAGGTCCCGGCTGGAGGGGCTTCCGAAGTGTGGGTGAGAGAAGCTGGGCAGCCTGGGTTAAGCCCAGCTAGCTGCAGGCGGGAGGAAAGGGCTGCTTGTGCTCAGCTGACCCCAGGAGTACCCCAGCGACCCCTGGTCCATGCACACCCACACCAGAGCCCGGGAAGGCTCTGGAGCAAACCTGTGAGCATCAATCTGTAGCCCAGGCTGCACTGCTGGGGTCATGCCGCAAATATTTGCTTGGGAGGCAGAACCAGTCCGGGAAGCTCCCGTTTGATGCCTGAGGCTGTAGGGCGCTGGGTGAAGCGGGCTTGGGGTGCCCCTGACCCAGGGTTGGAGGTGTGTGCTCAGAAGAGGGTTGCTGGCCCAGGGAGCCCCCGCTGCCCACGGGGCTGCTGCGTGCCCATCGCTGCCTGTCTGTGCAGGTACAGGAAGGCCGCGCTGAAATGGCACCCGGATAAAAACCCAGACAACAAGGAGTATGCCGAGCAGAGGTTCAAGGAGATCGCCGAAGCGTACGAAGTGCTGTCGGACAGTAAGAGGCCAAGATGCTGTCTCGCATGTGTCCCCCCCCCGCCCAGCCCTTGGGGCTGCTTACCCTGGGGTGTCCTGCTGCTGGGCTCACCCAAGTGGCATCCCTGGACATCCCCAGGAGGTAGCGGGTCCCTCCAGCTTTACTGCCAGGCTTGTGGGGCTTGGTTACCTCCCCATGCACCCCCCAAAAATGGCTCTTGGGAGAGATGCTGGCGTGCTGGCCTCCAGGATGGGGTTGCACATCCTTGCCCCATGCCCCGACTTGGGTTTGGGAGTGGTGCCAGTGCAGCGGGGGCTCATGGCACCCCCCTCCTCTTGCTCCCTGCTGTTCTGCACCTCCCTTGGCTGGGGGAAAGCGTTGGTGCTCCTGCCCATGCCTGGCAGCCAACTTCCCCGCAGCCCTCCTCTCTTCTCCTTCCAGAGCAGAAACGCGATGTCTATGACCGTTATGGCAAGGATGGACTCATGGGGGCAGGTGAGTGGGCGAGAGGGGCCATGGGGCTTTAGTGCAGCTCTGAATACAGCCCTGAATACAGCTCTGAAGACCAGGTGTGGGTCTGTGCCCCCCAGGCCTCCCCATCCTTTGGGGGGTTCCCACCCAGAGCTCCACTTCACTCTGAACCTCTTCCCTCTTGCAGGACCGGGGGGTTCCAGGGCCGATGCCGGGGCCCCTGAATTCACCTTCACCTTCCGCAGCGCTCATGATGTCTTCCGGGAGTTCTTCGGTGGGCGAGACCCCTTCGCTGACTTCTTTGGTGCGTACAGGGCAGGGAGGGAGGCCGGGGGCTGGTTCTTGGGCACCTCTCTGGCCCCGGGGCAGCCACTGGACTCGGGGACAGAGCGCATGGCTGGCCCCAGCAGGGGGGTCCCCACTGCGGTGCCCTGCTCCTGGCTCGCCAAGCCATGGGGGCAATGCTGACGGGGGGGCGGCCCTACCTTCCAGATGAGATGCTGCCCTTCTCCGAGCTGCGAGGACCTGGTCCACGGCACCACAGGGGAGGCCACTTCTTTTCCCCCTTCCCAGGATCCTCAGGTAGGAGCCGCTGCCAGCCCCTGCCCAGCGGGGGAGTCCCGGGACACTGCCTCCCCCTGCTCAGGGTCTGTCCCCTGCCTTCCTTGTGCCCCCCCCCCCCCCCCCCGGCGCCGCCCTTTCACCCCCCTTCCCCA